GGCATAAGTTATGGCTTTGCAGTGTGGCTCGAAGCTCACTCTTGTGGGCCGCTGGTGTTAGCATATTTTGCACGGAGTAAGTGTAGACTTTATGCATGGGTCGCTCTCTTCATCGCATTGCTAGTTGAGATTATCTGATTTATTATTACCTTTCGTTTGGGGACTCATCTATTGCCTTCCTTCAAGACTTTTTTGGTCTGTTAAAATTGGAATCTGTAAATTGGCGGAAGGGCTTGAATTTCTCTCCGTCTTGACTGTCCTTTTTTTTGGTGGGTGGTTTAGCAGAAAAGATGTTAAAGGGTCTGCGTAAACGCATTTTTGAGGACATCACCTTTACTGCGGCTATCTCCACACCAAGAGCTGTTTTAGTTTCCTGCCTTGAGGACAAGTTCGTCTTCTTTGATTCCTCCTCCCTCAAAAAGTCTTCTTATCGGGTCGAAGGCTCTTCTAGATGTGTAGTCATGGATTTCGCTCGTGCAACCACTAACATATTCCTTTCCGGAGATTTTGATGGCATTGTACGCCTATGGGATCTTCGTAATCCTCGACATCCTGTAGGTTCTTCTGTACTTATGTAACTTTAGGTGCGTAGTTTAATCTAAGTTCTCACTTTCAGACTAGTGCTTCCAGAGCAGGTCGCAGTTTTCTGCCCATGGGCGCTACGTTTAATGCTGCAGCAGTCAGCGCTGATGCAAGCCTTGTTTGTGCCGGTTCGTGTGCGGTAGCAGGCAAGCGAAAGCATATCGACAAAATGGGCAAGAAGAGCAAGCGCCCGCGCAAAAGCCTTGATGGGGACATCAATGATAGCGGAGACGGCGATGAACGCGATGTTGATAGTGGAGGGGAGCCCTCTGCTTATTTGGTTTACTGGGATACGCGGTGGATGGAGCAACCTCTACTAATGCTGAATGACATTCACTCCGACGATGTGAACCATCTCGTATTTGAAACAAATTCCACTCATGCGCCCTCCAGGCTGCTTAGTTGTGCTGATGATGGTCTGGTGTGCCTGACTGATCCCACTGCTCCTCCTGAGGACAGGCTAATTGAGGTAAGTTGATGTTTTATCATTTCTGACCTAAGAGTTCTCGAAATGTGTGCTGGAGCAATTGTTTCAGGTAGCAATTACTCTAATTAAACCTTTGCGCAGTGAACACTTCTTATGGTTTATCGTTACACAATTTAGAAGTACAACCCGTTGTACACATGGTTCGTAGTTTACGTCAAACGTGTTCCGTTGTGCCTGCTCAAGTAATGAATGTCTTGAATATTAATGCACTTAAGGTATTTAACGCGGAATGTCAGGCCAACTACTGTGGGTTCCTCAATCCTGCTGTCTCCACAGACGCCAATATCGGTATCTATGCCTTCTACAACATGCGTTCTCACGTCACAGTGTGGCCGTTAGCTTCAGAGGAGATTGATTCCCAGTGGCGGAGGTTGAAAACACCTACCCATGCACGATACCTTCTTTCTGCTACTCGTCTACCGGGTCTTCAGCCAGCTATTTGTCTGTTGAGCACCTCGGCGGTGAAACGAGATATTCGACTTTCATTTGTGAATCCAGAAAAGGCGGAAATTGTTACCAGGAGACGGTTGTTTAAGGAGGACTATAAATTCGACTGTGACGCCTTCTACGCTGATGTTGTGTGTTCTTCAACGATGGAAGATACTTTGGAAGTCCTGGTGGTGACGCGTCACTCCATTCATCGACTAATGGGCAAAGTGACCTAGTTAGTCAAGGTGTACATCTTTGTATATAAATATTTTCTCCTTGTTGCATTCCTATAGTATCGGATCATTGAAAATTATTAACAATTTGGTCATTCGCAACGCTGAAGTGGTTTCTCATTAAAGGGTATTCCCATCTACCCCCGAACTGTTCCAAGCTACGATGGCTTATAGTATGTACATATGGTGAGAACATTTGTTGCCATCACGAAATAACCGAAGCGATACAAACTACACCCGGACCTGGCCTTTCTCCTGCTCGTTTGCATCAGTTTGCTCACTTCGCTATTGGAAATGGAGGCTTTGCACTCCATTACCATCTTCATTATGACCCGCGTCATTTCACCTCCTACGCAGCTATCGCGATGGTGTCCAAAAAAAAAACATTTACTTCAGCAACTCATCGATATACTGCTTTCAAAATGCACATTGACTCCCTGCCGGAGACACATGTCTCCCTCATCCCACTTTGAATGGTGAACCCTCACGAACTCTTGCACTAGGTTTTGCAACTCCGGTCATGCTAATTACTGCACGTCACCTTCGCACTAAGCAATGAGAAACGCGGCTGGGTATTGCGGACTCTACTTTGCGCCCTCCTAACTACAATGCTGATTCAGCGTAACCTTCTTAGCGGAAAAGTAAGGTGTTATCAAGTACAATTTAATCCCATTTCCAGTACAGCAATTTTGCCCGTCTCAATTCCTGCAAGCGACCACTGATTCCTGTAGAAACCTACAAATCTAGTTGAATGATAAAGGGTTAGTAATACCACAGTGGATCAGAGGTGCGAGAAGTCACGCAAGAAAAACGCTTGAATCACCACACATTCGGGTGACAACCATTTAAACTCCGGAAAGATCAACTGAAAGACTGGCGAAATTAGTCTGATTATTATGAGTTGGCTTTCCGTGCAAATTTCAATAAAAGTAGCATAAGTAGTTGTGGGAGTGGTAGTGAAGGGAAGCTTGAGACACTTGCAAGGAGGATGGTTTATCGGGCGGCCGGGTGACTCTGGTCCTCATCGTCCTGCTGACCATGCATAATCATTTTGGTGAATTCGCGGTAGTTGAAGTCGCCGTTCTTAATGGGGGCACCGTGAAATAGCTCGTCCACCTTCTCGTCGGTCCAACGGTCCCCCATTGTGGTCATTAGTTCGCGTAGTCGCTCCTCACTGATAACTCCTACGACATCAAATGGATGGCGTTGGTAAAAAATAAGTGCAATGGAATCTAAGCCAGATTGAAATATCTGGCATGATGGTAAGGAGGCACGTGTACCGATGTGATGAACACCGCGTCCCGTGGAGGATTATCATGAATTCCTACTCATTTCCAATTTCCAAGCAAAGAGGAGACTTGTGACGAGATTGGCGTCACCCGAAATCGCTTAATTAATCTATCTTAAGAGTCAGATAAAAATTCACTAAAACAGTCAGCACATCATCGATACTATAGCTGAAGAAAATTCCCTCATTTGCTGAAAACATTCAAGCACTGTTGGCAGCGGGTACCAATGCAGTGGGCAGAGCTGCAACAATGGAAGAGCTAATTCGTGACTCACACATTGTGAGAAATTGTTTTCCATTAAACAATTCTTGAAAGGAAAGTAGGCGATGGTAGCTTCACGATGGGTCAATAAATGCTCTCTAAAGTTCCAGCCTTGCAAAACCGAAACCTGGAAACCACAATACTTATTCTTTTGGTTGGCTCCCTAGGCGACCTGCAACCAGACGCCAAGCATTGTGAGTTGATAAAAGGGTTTTATATTGATTCTAGAAGTCGGTATGCTATTTCGATTGTTTGGTACAGGCGCCTAAAATGAAGGCGCAATAAGGACATTTGGAGCGCTAATGGGTAAGTACGGTAGGGAGAGCAATACGCTCCCGGGAGTGGTTCCCATCCACTAAGTAGCAGGATTGCCAAGCTTCTCCAAAAAAGATCGACGTTCTACACAAGATTAATGCAAGACGCAACTATTTCCACAGCCCAGACAGGCCACTGACCGAAAATATATCCAGTGCAAACAAAGTGCCAAATGAAAATGTAGATTTTTTGAACTACTTTGCATGCACAAAACAGTGAATGTAGAGGAAACGCGAATGCAGATGTGTGAGTCATAGAAATAACAACCAGTAGGGAGGGGCTGATTAGTAGGTACGCGCGCAACCTTTTATGTGCGCAAGTCAATGGATCTTGCTTGACCACATATTCTGATAAACCAGCTAGACTTCAAACAAGTACGCCTGGCAGCAATGCAAGTGACCCAAAAGAGAGACTATACTCCATGACTAAGATTATTACTTTTGACAGATTTTAAGTTACCCTGTCAAAAAATGTGTTGTAATGAAACTGAATGTTGCAAATTTTATGAGAAACCATTGCACCGACCTGTATTGTTGGGATCAAATTGAGCAAATGCGTTAAGTATGGTTTCTTCAGGATCACACCCCATCATCTTCTCTCCAAAAAGCGTGAGGAACATGGTGAAGTTAATACAACCGGGAGCCTGTTTAAGCATCTCGTCGAGGTATTCTTCGGATGGGTTCTTCCCCATAGAACGAAAAACCTCTTCAAGATCACCTTGATCAATGATCCCGTCCTTCGAGCCGTCGATCAAAGAAAAAGCTTCCTAAAGGGAGGAAAGGCGACAAA